GACCGATCCTGAGCCAGAAACATCTCAGACATGCTCAACCCTAATGAAGCCCCCTAACACCCACCTTAAACTAGAGCCCAAAACCTTACACACATACCCCTGCCCCCGCCCCTCAGACCCTGCTCGGACTCCCAGGCAGGTGAGCTCCTCCCTGCTGACCGCAGTCCTCCCACTTGGCCATATCAGCCACATGTTGCTTGGTGACACCTTGGGAGCTGGCATTTAACTCTTAGAGAGCACACTTTTTTTTTTTAAAGACAGAGTCTCACTCTGTTGTCCGGACTAGAGTGCCGTGGCGTCAGCCTAGTTCACAGCAACCTCCAACTCCTGGGCTCAAGCGATATTACTGCCTCAGTCTCCCGAGTAGCTGGGACTACAGGCATGCGCCACCATCCCCGGCTAATTTTTTTCTATATTAGATGGTTATTTTATTTACTTACTTATTTATTTATTTATTTTTGAGACAGAGTCTCACTCTGTTGTCCAGGCTAGAGTGAGTGCTGTGGCGTCAGCCTAGCTCACAGCAACCTCAGACTCCTGGGTTTGTTTAAGTGATCCTCCCACCTCAGCCTCCTAAGTAGCTAGGACTACAGGCAAGTGCTGCCACACCTGGCTAATTTTTTTTTCATATTTTTAGTTGTGCAGCTATTTTCCTTCTAACTTTGGTAGAGACTGGGGTCTCTCTCTTGCTCAGGCTGGTCTCGAACTCCTGAGCTCAAATGATCCTCCCACCTCAGTCTCACAGAGTGCTGGGATGACAGGCGTGAGCCACCGCGCCCAGCCATTAACAAATACACTTTTTTTAAAAGAAAAAAGAAGCCCTTGCTAAATGGCCTGGGAAGCCCCTCTCGGGTGCTGGCGGGGCCTGAGAGGCACCCACTTATGCTCTATTGTCCCTGCTGTGTGTGTGGGACATCTGAGCCACTAAGACTTCTGGGCTTTCCCCAATTACAGAGACGGGCCTGTTCCTGGAGGTATTTGCTGGCTTGCATAGCTTGGCTGCAGTTTCTCTGTGTGCCCTGTTTGCAGTCCCATGGCCTGTAGGTGACCGCTGGGGAGAAGCTCAGGCCCATGGCTCCCACAGGTCTCCAGGCTCCTCCCTTCTTTCCTGCTGGAGCCCTTGCCTGGTGGGCCCGGCGATGCCAGGGGTGTGAGTGGACTAAGGGACACCTTGGAGTTAAGCAAAAACTGCACTTTTTTTTTTTTTTTTTTTGCTTAAAAAATTTTTTTTTGTTTGTTTGTAGTTTTTTTTTTTGAGACAGAGTCTCACTCTGTTGCCCGGAGTCTCACTCACTCCCCTAGAGTGCCGTGGCGTCCAGCCTAGCTCACATGCGAGACCTCAGACTCCTGGCTCAAATGATCCTACTGCTCCAGCTCCCAAGTAGCTGGGACTACAAGTATGCACCCAACCATGCCGGCTAATTTTTCTTCTGTTTTGTTTAGTTGTTTGCCTAATCCTTTTCGCTTTCTTTCCTTCCTTCCTTTTCCTTTCTGTCGCGCTTTTTCTCTTTCCTTTCCTTTCCCTTTCTTCTTTCCTTTTCCTCTTCCTTTTCCTTGTCCCTTATTAACTCATGTCATTTGCATTTTCCCGTCTTATGGCGTTCTCTCATGAACTTCACGACTCTCCAGCCCTTCACTCCCCAAAAAGGATCGTCTACTATGAATTTGGTGGTTATCCGATTCCAATGAACAAATGTATTTCATCTTCTCCGTTGAGACAGTCTTCACTCTGTTGCCTGGGATAGCAATGCCGTGGCAGTCAGGGCAGCTCACAAGGTCATACTCAACTCTTGGGCTCTTACACTTTGCTTGATCCTTTTGCCCCTTACTTCTGTTGCCTGGCGCTCCACCACGAAAACCTCAATCCTCCTGGGCTCAAGCGACTCCTCCTGCCTTCAGCCTCGCTGAGATCTGACGCTCTGGGAAACTACTACAGGGCATGCGCCACCATGCCTGTGTCTAATTTTGTATCTCTACTAATGTGCTGCGTCATTTTCAGTTATCCATGTAATTTCTTTTTATTTTAGTAAGATGGGGTCTCACTCTTGGCTTCAGGCTGGTCCTTGGGAACCCGGC